CATGGTTAAACACCAGCAAATTGGGCACATCATTTACTGGAACCATTCATAAGCCACTCAGTCTTACTGCTGCTCTTGTTCAATTTGGGGTGAGACACTGACAATAAAAGTTTAAAGCAAAAGCTTTAATTAAGATGCATAATTATTAGCTAAAAAGTGTTTGTCTACTAACATGTCCCATCCAAATTTAATTGAATTTAATTTAACTGATTATGTTGATCATGTTAGTTACTCATCTTCAAGTTGGATGTAACACAATATTAGTCTTGTACTACATGCAAGGAAAATGTACACAAAAGTGTTATTTGTCATGGTTGTCTTATGTAGGACAAGTGTCGATTGAAAAGTTCACTCTCTAGTGTGGATAAAAGAGAACCACGGCTTGATTTAAGCTTGAATAACACTCTTGGGAGCGCCAGTTTATTGAAAACTATGAGGTCAGTATTACTGTGAACAACATTGGTGAATATCTTTCTGGATTTTTCTATACTTATTTTGGTACCTTTTGTAATTCTTCTCACAACAATATTTAAAATATAATCCTGAGCATGCTGTTTCCTTACAGTTCACTATTCATCCAGCCAGTCAAGACTTCCTATAGACCTCTTCCTCATTTCCTGCTTGTGTCATCTAGCATTCCTGGATATGAAGTAAAACTGTGTTATTTCTCATTCATGTCTATCATTGAGTTATGTCTCTTGTTGGTTGATAGACTGTTGTTTATGAACCGAAGGATTTCAACTTCATATTTCTAGCTGCTTGTGGCCGCGGTGCAAGTGTCTGTGGTGGTTTTACCATATGACTCACAAGGAATGACCTTGGAGGCTTTGCTTTCTCTGGCGGAAAGGGTGATCCAAGGCAGGATGGTGCAAAGTCTCGGCATTCTGGTGACTGGGAGCACAGAAGAGATAACTCTCACAGATGGTAATTTCCCTGATTAATTCAACATTGGGTCCAATCTTACTTAAAAAAAAAAATTAACAGGCAGTTTTAGGGGCTCCATATTTGCCTGCTAGAATAGATTTTATGATTTTTTTTTTCTTTATGAGGGCAGATTTTATAACCATGTAAAACACAGCTGCTGTCGAATTTATGCCACATACTTGAATTACTTCAATAAATTTCAATACAAAAGTAGCTGTAAATCATAAGAATAAGTCAACATAACA